CTATGAAGGTCATTTTAAATAAAAGCGTCTGCCAAAGCCATTAATCTGTCTGTTCTTTTGTGAAATCATTTTGATTGCCCTTAAGGTGAGATGTGAGAAATGAGAATATACAAGTGAAATATGCAAATGAGACATTATGAAAAGTATATAAAGATGCTTTTAAAGATGTATTTAAATATAAATCTATGGACACAAATAGAAAGTGCAATATAATGAACAGTTAAATGTGCATTTTGCATGTTTTCTTTCCACTACTCAGCACTTTATGAAAAGCCAAATTGCCCAAAATCTCAAAACTGGCCAATGCATGAAAAATAAATGCATGAAAAATAAACAATGTTTTTGCCTGTTGTGTCTTGCCTTAAGGTGTGATAAACAATGCTGTCAAAAAGTAACCCTTTAACACACTTATAGCTCTGCTTAATTTATTTGTTTTAATCTTCCCGGGAATCTAAGATCTGAGTTTGTAGGACTGATGATGACTTTTTGAGACATCACAATTCTAACCAGACAAACCTGCAAACAGTTCAACCCATTTTTAAGTGTAAAGCTGTTCAATGTGAAACACACAACATCATGAAAATAATATAAGGCTAACAAAAGATCAGAGGCCCGCTTCAGAAAAGAGGTTAAGCGAAAACTTTGTGTTTTTCTTTTCTTTTTTTTATCGGCTATGTTGCTAAATTACAGCATGACTGTTATTAATGGCATAGTAGTTAACAGAGTGCATTTTATTTGTGGTAGTTCTACTTAAAAAGGTTTGATTTTTCAGGGAACTCAAAGCTCTTCATGATAAACTGCAAAGAAGCATCAAGCAACTGAACTCAGAATGTGATGAAAATGTTCCAACTCTCAATCATAAGATAAAGGAGCTGAAGGACATCACTGCTGACCTGGAATCCGTGCACAAGGTCACTAGGTGGGCAGTTTGTCAGGAACAGTAATAGCAGCAGCTGCAGGAATCATAGCACTAGTGGGGTTGTTTTTGGCCCCGTTCACGTTTGGTGTTTCGTTGGCTGTTTAGCTGCAACAGTAGCAGGTACAGCATGTACCATCACTAACATGATCAAGCAGAAAAACCTACGTCAGACTATTAAGAAGATCACAGATGATTTTCAGAATATAATCAACGCAATAATTACACATCTGAAGATGTGTAATCAATTAATTAGAATTAGAATCAATTTCTAACATCATAGAAGATATTCAGAAGAAGTGGGTTTCTGAATCAGATGTGATGCTCCCGACAACTGTGGGTACACTGGAAACTCTTTTTGGCATTTCATCGATTGCAACTGAATTACGAATGGCTAAAATTGGGAACGTGACCACGAGAGCTGCCAGAGCTCTCAAAATTGCTGGGATAACAACTAGCACAATCTCAGCTCTATTTCTGTTTTTAGATGTGTATTGTGTTGTTCAAGATTCAACAGAGATCTCTGAAATGAATCAACCAGCAGACAAGAGAAAAGCAGAACATATCAAGTCAGAGACTTTGAAATGTAGTCATCATATAAAGAAGGAGACTCTGAACGATATTGAAAGTGCAAGAGATACAATTAATGGAGAACAATGTGAGCAGTGTGGCAGTGTGCACATAATGGGTGTTAAATGAACACCGCTAGGTGCATATATGAGTAATATTTCAATGTTTAGAACTAGTTTAGTTATTTCAAACAACACCTAACACCGTGTCCTAACTACACGTGATGCGACAAGCAATTTGACGAAAACACACATTTTAGTTGATCAAGTTTAAGAGCAAAAACTACATTGCGAGGCCAAACACAGAGGGAACACTGTGAAATATCTGCTGTGATTTAGTAGTTCATGTTTTACTAGTACTAATTCTAAAAAAAAAGCATGTTACTTATACTATGCTTTTCAGCAGTATGTCGTAAAACAACATCAATCAAAGAATGTCAATATTGTTCTTCCTTCCTTAACTGTAATTCACATCTTTTATAATCATACTTTAGTTTATATATATATACATATAATATGTTAATTAAGACAATACTATTTTACACTTAAAAAATAAATAAATAAATAAAGTAAGACAGTGAATTATGTTATAAATCAAAAGCAGTGTATCCTGCTGGTTTCCCTGTTGATTTCTTAATTAGAAACTAATAAACAAATGTAAAATGGTACCACTGAAATTGGTATGTATTTGTATTAACTAATGTTAACAAAGATGAATACATACTATAACTACTACTGCATTAGTTAGTGCATTAACTAATGCGACCGTGTTGTAAAGTGTTTCCAGGATCTTTCTTAAACTGACTGATGTTTTTGAAGAATTATGATAAAGCTGCTTAAAATCAGCTGTTGGTATTCAATTATTAAATAGTACTTGAATAAAAAATATACCTCAAATGACTGTATCTACAGTTACGTTATGTACATTAAAAAATGAAAGTACTTTGCCATGTAGGTGTTTTTTTTCCTCTTATTTATCTGTTTTTATTTGCTGTCACGTACAGTAAAGCTCCCATGAAAGGGAACCACATTAGTCACATGTGAAACTCGTTCACAAAACTACCTCGAGGTGGCGTAAAGAGACCGGTTCCATTTTTGCACAGCTGTGTCAGATATGTGACATAAAATGGAGATCAAATCACATTAGTCACATGTGAAACTCGTTCACAAAACTACCTCAGAGACCGGTTCCATTTTTGCACAGCTGTGTCAGATATGTGACATAAAATGGAGATCAAATGATGAAATAAATGACTGGGTTGAGGTTGATCGGCCTTTACCTTTCTTAAACAAGCAGAGCGACACAGACGGCGATGATCAAGGAAAGAATGGGCTGTAAAAACTATTTCTGTAAGGCCAAAGGTCAAAGAAGAAAGTCATTGTTTCACATAGAGAGGTGTAAGATTTTACAGTTACAGTGAATTATTACACTGGGAAAAAAAGGCTACCTATTGCATTCAGTTTGTGAAGTCAACTAATTGTCTTATTTAAATGGCTCTTTCTGACAATTTGAATACTTTTTGTGTGTAATGAGTAACAGGCAGTCTACTAAATTAAATAATTCTTGTCAAGACAACTAAAATTGTTTTTTTTTTTTTTTCATCTTTACAATTTATTTACATAACCCACTACACGATGTGCACCCACTACATGGGCATCAGTTGCCTCTTAAAACTAGAGGCAAATAAGTTACGCTGATAACTTACCCCTGGCAATTATATGAAATCCAAACGTTTCAATGATCTCCACATACTGTATAAGGAGGTAACCTGCAGTTGTTACCTTAAAGCACTATGCCTGATTTAACCTGAAGAGAAGAAAAAAAGAATAGTTGAATTGAATAATTGTTTTACTAACAGTCACTAAATTTTTCCTGCTTGTATTTTATGAGCCAGGCCTATTTATATTCTCCTTATTCACATGTTGCTCCTGTGATACATTTATAAAATTCATACCGTCTTTTTTTCTGTATTTAAGTCACAAATTAACCATTGGTCACGCTAGCTAGTTTACTCCGATCAAACAGGTTTCATTAGTTTGCACTCTGCTAATTCTACATTCATCAAATGTGTTGTGATTTAAATAATCAAGATGTCATAAATTCAACAAAACACATTCAATCTACATGTAATGGATAGTGAAAGCATAATACAGTTTTAATTTCCTCAAGTGTGAGATGCTGATTTTAAGGACTGTGTCACTGACAGACAGAGCAATTTCAGCTTGAGTCTCTGATCAAAGTACAAATAAATTCACGCATCCTTTTCTAAGCACAATATAAATACATCCGTGTCAAGTCGTATATCACAAGAAAGCTCTCGTTCTCAGAAATTTGACGATGTAGATTATTTCATTGTGTGATAATCACAGATCGAATTATCTTTGATAGAATCGCGATGTAAAATTTGGTCACCTCTGAGCGAATTTACATTTATACTCGTAGCACTCAGCCACAAACAGCCACAGATATCTATATACTCTATATTATCTTTTAGATTAGGATCTCTTCTTTCAAACAAGACCATTTCCACGTTTCTGCGTGCTTCCATCGGTGAGATATATAGCGTTTTGTCCAGGTTCAGAAAAAGACGCTGGTCTGGAAACAGGCGCTCTTCATGTCCAAAGCGCGCACAGCCAGCGCGTCTGATGTTCTAGAGCTCTGTGGTCGCTTGTGCAATTGGTCAGATTACAGTCTGTCATTTCAGAGCCGTGAAATTTGACACCTCTGCGTCACTCGAGGGGGAGAGGGGGGTCTTGCATCCGGGTCTGTGCCTGTGGGGGGGTTTATGGGCTCTGTAGTTTATTTGAATGTTTTGAAGGCGAGATTCACTCACAGAAATAATTCAACTGATTGAAGAATAACACAATATGTGCAATTTTGTCCAATTCGCTTGTGCCATTTTGTATATTACTACTTAGAAAAACATAAAAATGAAACATAATTCAATTAATAATCAATTAAAGTGCTTATGGCACAGAATAATAGAGGATTGTGGGGATAATGTGTTTTATAGAGGCTGTTTTTGCAAGGGAAACTCACAATGACACATTTAGATGCAAAAATTGACAATTTCACTTGCTTCACAAATAATGTAGTAACTCCTGTTTAGAAGCTGTTATTTGAAAGATTCTTTTTTCTGGTACTTTTTGGCATCTAGTGGCATCAAACAAAGTAAATTGCACAGAGTTGAGCCTAATAGAACCTGAATTACAGATTTTAAAAAACAAATTACTTTTAAATCTCAAAAAGCGCCTATGTTTTTTTTGTGTTTATAGTAATATTTGAAAAGTATATAATGTTATTTATAAAGAATTACACTCATATTTTGTAGTTCAAAGGGTTTTATTTACAATGAAACCATTTTTTCAAAGGGTTTTCTTTACAATTAAACCATTTTTTTTTATTTCCTCCATTGTATGTGTGCAGAGTAAACATTTGAATTTGAGTATGTTAAATTTAGGTGCAAATACCAAAAAACGCCCAGAGCTTAAGTGGTTTTAACTTTGAACAATGAATGCAAATGAACAGATTCTAAGGTGTGTAAACATCACAATGAAACTGAAACATGAATTTGCTTTGGAAAAAAATGATAAAAAACAAGCAGAGTGAAAACTGTGCCTCTGCATTTCATCAATCAACACTGAGAAATATCCATTACATTGTAAACTTTTAGCCTTAAGATGTTTTGTGAATACGGCCCCTGGATTCTAAAATCCTGTCTTATGTTTGGAACTTTAAGACACACCGGATTTCGAAAATGTTTTACCCTCGTGATCTGATCAAACTGAGCATGTCTGGAGGGGGAAGGGTTTAGCTTCCATTAAAGATCTTTGTGTTTTCATCCTTTAGTCAGTTAACTGAGAAATTTGATTTGCCTCATGCACACTTTTTTTAGTTAGTTAGTTACAATTTAGACAAAAATTGCATTTTTGAACTCGGAGAAGCATGTTTTTTGACATATTTTGGAATCCTCCTGATTACAAGGCATCTTATTTTTAAAATGTCTTTGTTTATTTGAAAGCTGCATCACAGTCCCTACCGTGAGATTTAAAGTGGCCTGTGGGAGGAAGACCTGAGAGCTGAGCTCTCCAAAGACAAGATAAGTGCTCGGCTACGATACAGGCCTGCTCAGTCAACAGCATCCAAATCAAATTAGTTAACTGCTTACATTACACTAAAGCCAAGTTGCATCAAATTGTCCCGTCTGTTTCACCAGTGTGTGACAGCTGCAAGGTGGTGGAGGATACAGCTTCTTTCTGGTTTTGCTTTATTGTCTCAGTTTTGGTCATATTTGAATGGTACCTCAAGGCTTACAATAGGCCTCTTCCAGCGGATGCTGAACTTGCCCTCTTTGGCCTCTCTCAGCACACCTCTTGCCTCCAGGGAACATTACAACAGTCTCTAACTCTAGGTATGATCATGGCCAAGAGACTTGTGCAGGAAATCACCCACACCCCTTTCCTTGGTGGATTACAGACATGTTATTCAGATGGAGAGGGCTAATTCTATCGAAAAGTTTTCTGTTGTTTTGGGTTCATTTTTTGGACATTTGGATGAGTTAGCATGTCAGTCTGAACCCAGCGACTCTTCTGAGGTCCAAGCTACACATCCCAAAAAAGTGTCTATGGTCTCTTTAATCTTATCCACAATCATCTTGAACTGAAGAGCTGTTTCTTTCATCTGCAGAATAAATTTCAAGGTTTCCGATTTGATTTCTTCCGCTTTTCTCTCATCTGCTGGTTGATTCATTTCAGAGAGCTCTGTCGAATCTTGAACAATGCAATAAACATCAAGAGCAAGAAACAGAGCCGAGAGTGCGCCAGCAGCCGCCGCTGTCGTACGGAGCCTGTGCTTCAGTCGAGAATGACCCACAAAAGATTGAAAATATGCTGCACCATGTTGCTTTATTTCAATTAAGGCATTCTACTTTTTGTTTGAAAGCTGTAGCTGCAAGTCATTTGCCCATTTGTTATGATGTAGTTTTTAAGGCTGGGTGTGTGCAAGACATACAGTATAATAACGCTTATACGATGCATTTAGGAGACGGCCAAACTGCACTCAGTGGCCACGTGATGCAGATATAATTATGGTCCGTGACACTGGCTCAGATCCCGTGAAAAGGACAAGTCTTTGTGACTGTATGTTGTCCTCAAGTTCAAAAAGCCGCTCAGTTTGCACTCTAATAGAGTCTTACGTTCCAGCTGATGCTGTAAAAGGAGGGCAGATGTAAACACATGACAGGATGACTGAAATAAAAAAAAAATAAAAAAAAAACATTTATTATTATGTGGCACTTAAAAATATATTTGGCACCTTTCGGTTGCTCCTTGATTGATTGATTGATTGATTGATTGATTGATTGATTGATTGATTGATTGATTGATTGATTGATTGATTGATGTCTGGAGGCCTGTTGAATTTGACACCAGGTTGTGCTTTCTGAGGGTCATTTGTTGTTTTAATTGAACAAGATTAATCCAGTTTAATTATGTGCACATTTGATTTGGCACAGGTTTTACACCGAATGCCCTTCCTGATGCAACCCAACACTGAGAGTGCACTAACTTGTGCAACACCAGTGCTGGGACACACACACACTACAATGACCAATTTAGCATATCCAGTCCACCTAACATGCATGTCTTTGAACTGTTGGGGAAATTCAACACACAATTAATGCAAATCACAAATGCATCATGCAGCTCACTGACTCACTGTTGAATGAAGGAAGCCAAAGTAGACTCTGATCTGAAGAGCTGTTGTCGCCACTGGAGTCAAACAGTCTGTGATGGTCATCCATTCTAGGAAGAAGTTTACTTGCCTCCCTTTATATTTAAAAGTTCCTTAACAATGAATTACAAAATTGAATAATAACATTATTGATCATTTTTGACACAATGTTTTTTGTTTTATACTTCAATGATTTTGAGGCCAAATAACACACTTAGTCTCTTTCATTAATTGATATTCTCCATTTTTAGTAATCGAGTAACCACATGATTCTGTTAACTGTAAACATTTGTAATGTAGACATGCTGTAATATTATTAAAAACAACATGAAAACCCGAAAACACAATATAATTTCATCATCTGTATGTAGTAAGAATTACAACAAGCCCTCAGAGCTCATGCATTATTGTGTTCTTGTAATTATAACATTCTGATCAGTGGTTTAATCTGCATCTCTCAATCATATCTTTATAAGCATGCAGACGTCCCACTGTCTCAGAATGTTCTCTGGATAAAGTTGTATTCTCTCTCTCTCATGTATCGGACAATAATCAGACCCACTCACTTAGGAATATCATTTCAAAAGAAAGCAGATATGAATTCCTTCATCCATAATGTAGCAGTATTATAATGGACTTAAAAAGTACTTGTCACACCCAGACAAAAATAAAAATGAAAATTCAGTAATGCAAAAGGCAGAAAAATATGAATGCATGAATGCAAAGAAATGACCTTACCTGGACAATGAAAACGGATAATATTGATGACCTTTCTCAGTACATTTCTATGAGTTTTCTAGCCGTATATTATCAGTAATTCAGATTTATGTCCACTAATATCCGATTGTCTGCGAAATCTCTTCGGATATAGTTACTACTCACACAATTATTTTTTAGTTTAGATTCTGTCATTGGCGCTGTTGGTTAATAATCTACTACAATCAAGCAATATCACACTCTTATGACTCAATTGTGATTGGTTCCTGTACGAGGCCAAAGGTGCAATTCAGAACAGCAAGTGTCTTATTACCTTTAATATGATCATATAACAGAAAAGAATATGCAAAGCAGTCAGAAGACTCAAGTCTAAATTAAAATCAGTGTACTGCCACAGTGATTAATGTAACTATGTACATTTCATACAATGCATTATTGTGATTTTGTTCATTATCATACAGTATATAGACTCATAGCACGTCATTTAAAGCATCCTAGATCAATTTTCCACTGAGGGAGAATTTGTTAGGACTTGTGTCAGCTGATGTTTTCTTCAGCTGATTGATTTTATTTACTCACATCACTAAAATCAGTGAGAGTCTGACTATAATTCTCACAGTTCACTTTAAACATGTTGAAACTGCATTTTGTATGTTGTCTCTTGTCGAGGTTTAACTTTGGACCCTGAATGAATGTGTAAGCATTTAGTGGCATTATGAAGCAGTATAATATATTTCATTACAAATGTTTGAACCTTTGTTTATGATTTTAGGTGAACAAAATATAATATGTAGCTTATCTGAACCAAAATAAGTCCAAATAAAAAAGCACAAAATTGACTTTTATGGACAAACTGCTATATATTTTTTGTGACAATAATTAACCATGTTTCGCTATCCTCAGGGGGCAGTTGTTCAAAAAGTTTAATCTGGATCAGAATGATCTGGATTTGGAAATCCAATGTTTTGCTATCCAGGATCAGGTAACCCATCTCAATTGTGTGCCGGTTTTTCAAAGCAAAACTAGATTACTAGTGCTCTACGGAGCCCCTGAAGGGACAAGGTGATGGAAAATAAATAAATAAAGAGATGGAAAAAAATGCCCATGTTTTGCATTGCATTTTCACAAATAAATACTTCTGACTGGTCCATCTCTGATGATTATGCCAGTGTAGTTTACAATCAGTGATAAAAAAAAATAATAGTAATAAATAAATATAATATTTTTGTGTGATATTGACAGCTGTTTTGGGATTTGGGGATATATTACGTGGTACAATCGTTGTATTTTTTGGACCAATTTTTAAGTTTTATTAAATTTTTGTTCCTGAAACCCACCCTGGGATCAGAATAATCACATTTTTTATTTTGTGATCTAATCTGAATATTCAAGATATGATCCATTCCGATGGCCAAAATCCGATCAGATTACTTTTGAACAACTGACCCCAGATTGCTAATAACACATTTAGAGCTATTTAAAGAAGTACTTTGTACTCTGTCAAAGTTTTCAGTTGATTAAAAGACTCATTTTGGAGTAACAAGTTAAAGTCACCATACGATGACCATAAGTTATTAGAGTATGTTTTCTGAATGATTTATCCGTGCATGTCAGTTACGTTTGTTAAATTCATGTGTCCTTATAATACTGAATCAAAATAACTTCCAGAGACTTTACAGCTATTCTATTCTAATTATTTTCTATTCTATTTCTATTTGGCGAACTACTAAAATTGGGAAAGTGGTTGCAAATGTCAAACCAATTAAATACTTACACTGTCTATTTTGCTATTTGTTTATCATTGTCTGTAAAAGCGGGAAAAAGCCATCAGAAGGCTCAGAAATATCCTAAGTGTCCACATAACCATTCACCATGTCTGTCACCACTATGCACTACATTTCCCACGGTCCTCCTTGGCCATCACCTGCTCACTCTGTTCAATCACCACACCTGTTAGCAATCAATCCATGTCACTATATAAGCAAGCACCATACACACACTCATTGTCTGGTCTCATCATGACTAGGACTGTTTAATCATCTCTGCCAATTGGTTTCGCCGTATGTTGAGTAGTGATGGCGAGATGATGCATTGAAGGTTTTTCAGCCAAGTCGTTCACAAAAGGGTTAATTTCTCGAGGCTTCATTTGCTCACAATACCACCTGGTGGCCAAAGAGTGTAAAACAAGCAGATACATTACAGATGACCTGATGTGATCTATGATACACTGTGTTGCGCCAGTTAAGGCTTAGAAATAATGAAGAAGAAAAAAAAAATCCACATAGATGTGTATTTTATAATGATTGTATAACATAATATAACATAACTGTGTAATAAACGTATTGGCTTGAAATGAAAGGGGCTATTAAATGTTTGTGAATCAAGTCTTTGCTCATAATAGGCAGGAGGGGCAATATTATTAGTCTAAAACTGGAAAGTGGCTGAGTTTAACAGGGCAGAGGACTGTGAATTTACAAGATTTGAACCATTTCCTGAACCAGTCTATTCACAGAAATACAGATCTTATATAGGCATGTCGAGGGGAGTTTTCACCCTCTTAACCAATGAGGATAGGGGGACATACCCATACAGGATGTTTTTCCCAAGAACATGTGTTTTGTATAAAATTGCCACATATACAGAAAAACATATCCATATAAGGAATAGACTTCCTGGCGACAGAGGCTGAACCCCCCTTATAAATCAGCACAAACTCCTTTACCTTGAATATTGAGTAAGAGACATTCAAACACCATACAAGAGAGAGAGAGAACAGATAGAGGAGGGGTGATTCAGAGAAGGAGAGAGAAAGAGTGAGAAAGGAGGGGGGAGGCATTCTCAAAACAGAGAGGGTTTTCTAACACAGTCTGACTAAGCGAGGCTTCAGACGTCATCAATGGCATCATTGCTCTAAAGCGATTCAAGCCTCAATACGTGCTTCACTGAAAGCTGCCGGGATTTCTCGACACACGCTCCGAAGCCTCGGCACAGAACGTAACATGTTGATTCATTCAGAAGGACTCACCCATCTGCTTTCACTGGATACTTACCTGAGTTCTTCCTGTCTTCAGCCCCGTCAACCAGCACCTACAATACATAAGGACTCCTCATCATTCAGTTAAGTTTGCCATTATTATTTGGATACCCACTCACCTGCTTGCATCTCACCTAGGACCACCTGCGTTCTTCCTCAAAAACAATGTAGGTTTAATTTCATCGACCTTTCTCAGTTTATACCATCTGCACTGTGATTGGCTGGATTAGTTCCACCTTGTCATTGTGTCACTCACATTACGAGATCACGTGGTGATAATATCAAACCGGTTTGAAAATGTCGTAGCGTCTGTGAAAGCTCGAGACAGGTTCGGATCACGTTGCTGACCTGCTCATACTTAACGAGCTTCGGCGACCGCAATGAGCACCGATTTGGTCACGATCTGGGGGTTTTGTCGCAGCCTCTGGAAATCTGTCCGGGACAGCAAAATCCAGCCAAGAATCCTGTAGTGTGAGCTTGCCATAAGTTCCATAAGTGCCATAATTTCTAAATTAGATTTCTCTTTTGTAGACCATATCATAAATCCAGGTCCTCCAGCACTTTACAGACTGAATAAAGAGAGAGCAAAACATTTATTGGAATCAGAAAAAGGTCAGACAATGGACAAAAGGATGAGGGGGAAAAAAACAAGCAGAACAAAGTCATACTGCTGGTGGGAGAAACCAGAGCTGGGAAACCACCCTCATCAACACCATGATCAACTACTACACTGAGATCACTGTTTATGAGGTGTTTGTTGAAGAAAGCCCAACATCTCTGACCATCATTGATACTCCAGGATACGCAGACACTGAAGGATACGAGAAAGACAGAGATTTCTGAGTATCTGAGCAGATTATTCTCAGATGAGGATGGGATTCATTACATTGATGCAGTGTGTTTTGAAGGGCTGCTGGTGGGTCTAAACTCATGAAGTGTTCAGTCATGAAGAACAACCACTGCATTGTGTGTCCAGGGAAGTGTCTTTACACATCAGAGAGGATAAAACATATGTGATGATGACAAAGGATGTAAAAATGATGAGCTCAAACCAGAGTATGAACACGCTGGCGAAAATAATTTGACCAGCTCTGACAAAAAAGTATGAAATTAATAATAAAAGGTAACATAAAAGTAAGAGTCTGAGAATAAAAGAAAAATAGAAGAAAAATTGGACAGTGATCTGAGAAAACATTAAAAATGAAAAAGTTCAACCTGCTGCATGAAGCTTATATGATCCTCAAGAGTCTGTGTAAGATCTCATTAAAAGCAGACAGCGCTTTCACTCTTCATAAAGTTATATATTGATTCCCAGACTGAAGGAGGAGGGAAAAGATGAATGGATGAAGAACCTGGAGGATCTGAGGAAAGCTGGAGAAGAGAGGAGAAATATGTGACCCTGCCTGTGAAAACCCAGCTAAAGTCTTTTTTTTTTTTTTTGTGATTTACTGTTTTCTAGATAAAATCATCCTTCATAAAGATGTAATGGACGTTCTGTGAAAATACCTTTATATCTTTAATATTGACTGAATCAAAGATTGAAATCGTAGTGAGATTATTTGTTGAAATCAAACTTTGATGCTTGTTTCTCATAATTAGATTTCAAGACTTTAGTCTGGATTTCACAGACAGGGTCACATATGGGAGCTTTATGTCATTTGATGGAGTTTACTGGGCAAAAAAAGTTATATTTTTGGCAGCTGTAAAGGTGAAATGAATAAGCCTCAGGCGGAAGGAATCGCCTCTGCCTCTGCACTTACTCCCGATTCCTCTCAACATGGGGACAGGAGAGCTCAGTGAATACATTTGGAAAACGAAGCAACTTACACTACTCCTTTGAAAAATATATTTTGTTGTCAATTTAAAAGTAATGTTACTTTACTAGTTACTTAAAGTAATCTAATTACATACTTGTAATGTTACCCCAACACTGATCCAGTGTTTAGATTTCTGAAAATTGTGTACATTGGTGCATAGTTTAATATATAATGCCTTATTCAAACATTTCAGAAAACTTGTAGTACAGAAAATGTTTAAAAAAAATTGTGATACTAATTCGATTTTGTTTAGTTTTTTCCTATCGTATTCAGCTGGGGTGTCTCGACTCAAACACAATCAAAATGATTTCACAAAAGAACAGACACATTAATGGCTTTGGCAGACGCTTTTATTTAAAATGACCTTCATAGCATTTGAGCTACACATTTGATCAGTTTGTTTTATAAAACCAAACTGTGCTCTGCTTAGAAAGCTTTAATTGAGAAGCTTCTGGAATTATATCCAGTTTAAACATGCATGTGACATAGCAACATTTTAATTAATGGTTAAAAATGTATGCTTGGTACATCCTCTGCTTATGGTCTGCAGATCTGACCACGTCGCGACGGTCGCCTTATAGTTTGTGTATCATAGTGAACAGGCACACATTCATTATCAATGACCTCACAAGCAACAACCACATAATATCTAGCGTTATTAAGTGTAACTTCACACCGTCCATTTCTCAAAAAGCTTTCAACAATGTACACTGTGAACCTTCCCTCACTGATGCACAAGTTGCCCGTGTCTCTGACGCCTCGTCCATTGCAGATTCTCTTAATGCGATCGCTGTAGTATCCAGGGAGGAAGGACTGAAAACGTGTTCGGCCACAAAGACCCTTTCTATTTAGATAATCTGCCCAAGCCCATTCACTGTTTGTGTCAAAATTCTCTGAGAGAATATGTCGGCGATTAAAAGTAGTGTATGCGTTGTTATTCTGGGATGGCTGGCAGGGATATGCCCAGTTAGAGGAAAGAGCCCGTTTCTCTCGGCTGAATGTGACATTATTCAATCCATCAGTGAACACCAGAGTCATGAGGAGCACGAGGAACACCTCCGTTCTCATCCTGAAAACATATGAAGGAGATGATTAGAGCTGCACAGGTCGCTGAAATATGTATGGGAAGCAGAAAGGTCTATAACAAGTTTTATGTAGATAATATCTCAAAAGATTTAAATATAATTTGTAATTAATTTAATATGTATTTTTAATATTAAAACTTAATTTAGAAGTTTTAATGTTTTGATATTTAATAACTGTTTTAAATGGTTTTGACCAGCACAGCCTAAAGATGATCTAACTCAAATTTGTTAAAGATCTGATTCAAGCTGTTGAACAAGTTTTATACTAGTACATGTTCAACCAAATTTGCACATTATTGTCAAAATAACAAAACATTAATCACATCATAATTCAGATTCAGTATGCTTTCTAAATTCATTTTAACTAAGACACAGAATAGTGTCAGATTACCTGCTGAGTTCATAAATCTTATGAAGTTCATAGAACTTAAAAAATGTAAATCCTTGATTAGATTTAGTTTAACTAGTCTCACTTCCCTCTTAAAAGCTGGTTTGATATGTTGTGCTCAATGTACAATGTGTCAAACTGTGTGAAGTGTTTCTTCTCATGCAAGCAGTTTGTGTTTGACATCAACATTTGCTGCAGTGTAACATATCATATAATTATTTATTTTGTCAAATAAAAGACTAAAATTTTACTACTAAACTAACTAAACTAAGCTTAATATCTTAATGTGAAGAATGAGATGCATTAGAAGATCCTTCAGTATCTGAACTTCAGGAGTTACAAGTTAAACTTCATCTGTACTGAATGCAGATTTACCTTTGTGCTGTTCTTGAGTTTGTGTGAATGAAAGAGTCTCGATGAGTCTGAGCTGAAGATCAGAAAGTGTCTTGAGACGCTCACTGGACTGATATTTATTGGCTTGAAGAAAGCTGGGTGTGAACATGCATCACAAGCACGTTTCCTGCCTTCAAGCTAAATTTAGTGTCAAGTCAAGTCAAGTCAAGTCAACTTTATTTATATAGCGCTTTTAACAATACAGATTGTGACAAAGCAACTGAACAGTATTAATTAGGAAAATAGTGTCAATAATGCAAAATGACAATAGTAAACACTCATTTTTCAGTTAAAGACAGTTCATCATTGAATTCAGTGATGTCAACATCCAGCTTAGTTCAGTTTAAATAATATCTTTGCAATCATGTCAACGATAACGCTGGAAATGAAGTGTCCCCAACTAAGCAAGCCAGAGGCGACAGCGGCAAGGAACCAAAACCCCATCGGTGACAGAATGGAGAAAAAACCTTGGGAGAAACCAGGCTCAGGCGGGGGGCCAGTTCTCCTCTGACCAGACGAACCAGCAGAACGGAAAAATCAATATAAGACGTAATAAAACAGACGATGAACAATATTAACAGCAATTATTATATGATGCAATCAAACTTATAGCAAAATGTGGTAGTTCTGTATGTTGTTTCAGGGTTGGCATCATCTGAGGTCCTCTGAGGGGTTGCATCATCTCTTCTCAGGTGTTCTGGATCCAGACTGAAGCTTGTGTAAATCCTAGTTACCACGGGATGTTAATCCCGTGGCAAAAGACAGAGAAACAAATACAAACATAATTAGCGTAGCTGCTGTTCCAACCAAGCAAAAATGATTTGTTTAACCCAAACTAACGAATAATAATGTGCATTTGATTAGATATAACTGCAGTAAAAGATTATGACTGCAGTAAAAGATTATGAGATGCATTATTTGAATGCTTGGCCAAAGAGATGTGTCTTTAATCTAGATTTAAACAGAGAGAGTGTGTCTGAACCCCGAACGGTATCAGGAAGGCTATTCCAGAGTTTGGGAGCCAAATGCGAAAAAGCTCTACCTCCTTTAGTGGACTTTGATATCCTAGGTACTACCAAAAGTCCAGAATTTTGCGACCTTAGAGAGCGTGATGGATTGTAGCGTGGTAGAAGACTAGTTAGGTACGCAGGAGCTAACCCATTAAGGGCCTTATAGGCAAGTAATAATATTTTGTAACTGATACGGAACTTAACAGGTAGCCAGTGCAGAGACTGTAAAATTGGGGTAATATGATCATATTTTCTTGACCTGGTAAGGACTCTAGCCGCTGCATTTTGGACTACCTGTAGCTTGTTTATTGAAGATGCAGGACAACCACCTAGAAGTGCATTACAATAGTCCAGTCTAGAGGTCATGAATGCATGAACTAGCTTTTCTGCATCAGAAACAGGTAACATGTTTCGTAACTTGGCAATGTTTCTAAGATGGAAGAATGCCGTTTTTGTAACATGGGAAATATGATTTTCAAAAGACAAGTTGCTATCTAATATAACACCCAGATTTTTGACTGTAGAGGAAGTAACCGTGCATCCGTCTAGTTGCAAATTGTAATCCACGAGATTCGGCGTACTGTCTTTTGGTCCAATAAGTAATATCTCTGTCTTATCCGAATTTAATAGGAGAAAATTATTGGTCATCCATTCTTTTACATTTTTAACACACTCCGTTAGCTTAGATAATTTAGAAGTTTCATCTGGTCTTGTTGAGATATAAAGTTGAGTATCATCGGCCAAACAAAACACAAAATAGAGACCGCGGTCTTATATTAACTTTTTGATATTTTGGCCAAAAGAAAGCTTTAAATTCTGTATTATTCATGAAATCACTTAAGAAACCGAGAACTTTCACGGCAAGAGTGAGCAATTAAAATCTTTCCCACTACTCTATTTTTCTGAAATAGATAGGTTAAACGGAAAGCTTCTCACTCTTCGTCCCACATATAAAATGTGAGGAAAACAGATTAATGCCAAATATGACACAATCAAATTGCAAACGAGAATAAATTCAATTTCTCTTACAGACAGGAAGAAAAAGAAAACATTTTCTTACCTGTCTTTTTGAGAAATTCCGGAAGGACGAGCCCCCACTTGTTAATAAAAATAACAATTTGGTCCCTCGATATTCTCTTTGCCACCGTGAAATTTTCTCCGTCTCTCCAAGTGTAAATAAATACGGCCGGGAAGTAAGAAAACACACAGTCCATGTATTCTCAATACTTCAATTTATTCACAGAAATACAGATCTTATATAGGCATGTCGAGGGGAGTTTTCACCCTCTTAACCAATGAGGATAGGGGGACATACCCATACAGGATGTTTTTCCCAAGAACATGTGTTTTGTATAAAATTGCCACATATACAGAAAAACATATCCATATAAGGAATAGACTTCCTGGCGACAGAGGCTGAACCCCCCTTCTAAATCAGCACAAACTCCTTTACCTTGAATATTGAGTAAGAGACATTCAAACACCATACAAGAGAGAGAGAGAACAGATAGAGGAGGGGTGATTCAGAGAAGGAGAGAGAAAGAGTGAGAAAGGAGGGGGGAGGCATTCTCAAAACAGAGAGTGTTTTCTAACACAGTCTGACTAAGCGAGGCTTCAGACGTCATCAATGGCATCATTGCTCTAAAGCGATTCAAGCCTCAATACGTGCTTCACTGAAAGCTGCCGGGATTTCTCGACACACGCTCCGAAGCCTCGGCACAGAACGTAACATGTTGATTCATTCAGAAGGACTCACCCATCTGCTTTCACTGGATACTTACCTGAGTTCTTCCTGTCTTCAGCCCCGCCAACCAGCACCTACAATACATAAGGACTCCTCATCATTCAGTTAAGTTTGCCATTATTATTTGGATACCCACTCACCTGCTTGCATCTCACCTAGGACCACCTGCGTTCTTCCTCAAAAACAATGTAGGTTTAATTTCATCGACCTTTCTCAGTTTATACCATCTGCACTGTGATTGGCTGGATTAGTTCCACCTTGTCATTGTGTCACTCACATTACGAGATCACGTGGTGATAATATCAAACCGGTTTGAAAATGTCGTAGCGTCTGTGAAAGCTCGAGACAGGTTCGGATCACGTTGCTGACCTGCTCATACTTAACGAGCTTCGGCGACCGCAATGAGCACCGATTTGGTCACGATCTGGGGGTTTTGTCGCAGACTCTGGAAATCTGTCCGGGACAGCAAAATCCAGCCAAGAATCCTGTAGTGTGAGCTTGCCATAAGTTCCATAAGTGCCATAATTTCTAAATTAGATTTCTCTTTTGTAGACCATATCATAAATCCAGGTCCTCCAGCACTTTACAGACTGAATAAAGAGAGAGCAAAACATTTATTGGAATCAGAAAAAGGTCAGACAATGGACAAAAGGATGAGGGGGAAAAAAACAAGCAGAACAAAGTCATACTGCTGGTGGGAGAAACCAGAGCTGGGAAACCACCCTCATCAACACCATGATCAACTACTACACTGAGATCACTGTTTATGAGGTGTTTGTTGAAGAAAGCCCAACATCTCTGACCATCATTGATACTCCAGGATACGCAGACACTGAAGGATACGAGAAAGACAGAGATTTCTGAGTATCTGAGCAGATTATTCTCAGATGAGGATGGGATTCATTACATTGATGCAGTGTGTTTTGAAGGGCTGCTGGTGGGTCTAAACTCATGAAGTGTTCAGTCATGAAGAACAACCACTGCATTGTGTGTCCAGGGAAGTGTCTTTACACATCAGAGAGGATAAAACATATGTGATGATGACAAAGGATGTAAAAATGATGAGCTCAAACCAGAGTATGAACACGCTGGCGAAAATAATTTGACCAGCTCTGACAAAAAAGTATGAAATTAATAATAAAAAGTAACAAAAGTAAGAGTCTGAGAATAAAAGAAAAATAGAAGAAAAATTGGACAGTGATCTGAGAAAACGTTAAAAATGAAAAAGTTCAACCTGCTGCATGAAGCTTATATGATC